TTCAAGCGTTTTATTTGCACACAAAGCCTCATTCTGTGGAAATATTCATTTCCAATCGGGATACGGCATTTGCGCACTAGATGTTTAAGATTAATGGCTACGGATGAAGACCTCATCGTGATAAGAAGAGCACACATCGTTTCATTTGCCCAGTGATGAGATCATATTATTGTTGGCTTGTTAAATAGCTCCTGAGTAATAAATGTCTTCTGAATGAGCAAGTATGAACTCATTATATGCTACAGTTGAAACGGCACGGAGGCATATGTCTTCATTGGTGTTGATATGTTGTTGCAACATTTTCCAGAAAATACAACTTTAATTTCCTGAGTGGCGGAGACAAATTTACCATGTTATAAATCATTCCATTTCTCCCCCCAATTAAAAAAAAAGTTCTGACATGCCAATTCAGAAATTATGGGCAATGAAGATCATTTGAAAAGCAATTTCCTCATTAATGGCCAAAGTAAGTGTAGACCAAAATATTTCATTCTTATTATCATGATATTCTTATGAGTGGATCTCACTTGGATCGTAGCGGAAGGAATCCAGATAATGAACTCTCGTTACGACACAGACTGCCAACTGGAGTGTGGCGCGCGATGCCTGCAATGTTGACCACATTATTGTAAGCTCCAATTGTCTTGCCCTGTGTTTCAACGCATCACCGGGATGGCAACCGTTTGTGTGACCCGTATCCATACAGTATATATATAGTAACGGCTACACTGTCGGTTCAGATGTGGATCTCCAGATGTGCCCCCATGCGGCATTGCACAAATGTGATCAAAACAAGTCATATGTGGATTGACAAGTGGATTTGCTTCCTAACTTTTGGGACAGGGTTTTAGTTATTGATATAAAGATGTTGTCCCCTCTGCTGAAAATTCAGATGAGTTCTAAAGCTTCATTATTGATAGTTGAATCACACCTATAGAGACACCAGACGGAAATATTTAAGGGCCATTGGTAAATCGCATCCACTGGTGGCAATGCATCGGATTCATCGTCTTCTGCAAAATCCGGTCCACGGATTTTCGAACCGTCTTGACATTGTTCTCGGGACTCGGCAACGTTCGCGGTACATTTACAAATGAACAAGTGGAGAATACCCAGTAGGATATATTGTGGCTTTGCAATTAGTCTTTTCTTCCCTCGGGGAGTAAATATACACGTCAACGCAGGAAAGAATAAAGTGTGTCGATAAGTGAATAAAACAGCATCCAGTTGCCGAGGCGCAATACGCAAAGTGTAAAAGCCAGACGGTGCTGTCAGTCAGAAACAAAAAGCGGCGTTTTGTCTGATCTGTCTCACTTTTATTTATTGTTTTGGAAGCACGCGGCAGTAATGATTCCACGATTTCAGAGGGAAACCGTCAAATGCGCCACCATGGTTTCCACGGGAATGATTTCCTAATTAAGTGCATTTGAGTGGAGAGTAAATGTGGAGAGGTGGAGATGGAAAAAGACATGTGTGAGAAAGATGGAGCGGACTCTAGGGTGTTCCTTTTTTGTACTGAAAAGCCCGGCAGGCAAAGCTGTTGTTTGAAGAGCAGAAAGAGAGGGAGTCAATAAAATAAAGTGGGGTAAATTAATGTTTGTATGATTCTTTCATGCCTTCTTTTTTTTTTTTCTTCCTCCCCTTCTTTCTACCAAAACCGCAGCTCGTCTCAAAATGACCCCTCGGCGACTGTCGGCAAAGTCAGAGACTTGGCCTCGTTCCGTCGCCACTTCCGAATGGGCTTCATGACCATGCCGGCCTCCCAGGACCTTTCCCCTCACTCGTGTGCCTCAGCCATGGCGCCGCGCTCGCAGTCCTGCCACGCGGTCGGCGCCGGGGATGCAAGTCTGGAGAACGGGGACTACTCCGACACCCAATCTCAGCACGGCGGCCGCTGCCCGCCGGTCAAACCCAAGCGCCACCCTAGCACTCGCCTCAGCTCCTCGTCGGCTGACACCAGAGGACCTCCCGAGACGCCGCCGCCCCCGCCGCCTTCCTCCCACTCGCAGGCCAAGCACTCCGAGAAAAAAAATGGTAAGAAGCGGGATTCCTGGTGCGCGTTATTCTCTGAAAGTGATCTTTCCTTCACATATTGGTCCACCCCTGCAGCCATGAAGAAGTCCGACTCTGGAGACATTGGCTCAAAAAAGGTGCCTCCTTTAAAACCCAAGAGAAGTCCCAGCACCCAGCTCTCCTTCGATCCTCTCCCTCCACGTGTGCCTCATTCTGCCGCATCCCTCCCTTTCCAGGGAGCCGACTCTCAGATCCAAACCGGAGCGGGGGACGATGAGCCGGTCTATATCGAGATGGTGGGGCAAGTGTTCACCAGAGAGAGCCAGACCGCCACCCCCCACCCCGTCACCCCGGTAGCCACCACGCCCGATTCAGACTCGGACCAGAGCGAGGCCATCTATGAAGAGATGAAATACCCACACCAAGAGAACCGAGAATCTCAGAGGCACCCGCCGACCAAACACGAGAAAATGAAAAGTTCAAAGCATTACCACGTCGCCCCGTCGCCCTCCAGCAGCTCCTCCTCGTCACTGCCACGCCCTTCCTCTTCCTCTCCTTCCTATTCTAAACCCAAAGCTACGGTCTCCATCTCTCATTCGTCCCCGCTACCTTCCTCCGCATCCTCCACCCCCGTGCCCCAGGTCCTATCCACCAGCCCCCACACTCCACGAGCGCCGACTCCCTACCTGCTGCAAGGAAGCAAATGTGAACCAGAATCCAACACCAAGATCCCCGCCCCGTTCCCAAATCTTCTACAGCACCGACCCCCGCTGCTCGCTTTCCCTCAACCGGCGGCCGCGTCCAGCGGGGTGGCAGTGCAAAGCAAGGGTTCCTCGACTTCCTCTAAAATTGGCTCTCAAACATCCAGCGTGACCACTCAAGCTGGCACCTCCTCCTCTTCAACGTCCTCTAACATTCCGACCTCATGCTCCAAAGAGCCGTCGGGAGGGAGTGTCACGCCGCAAGAGAAACACAGCAGAGATTCTCAGTTGGGACCCGCTCCCGGACTTCGAGCGAGGAGTCACTCAACGCCACTGCCCCCGTCCTCCAAATCGACGTCACCTTTCTCCCATCACCACCACCACCCGCACCACCGGCCCTCCCACTATCATCACTATCGCAAGCCAGAGAGGGGAGACTCTCCGGCTCCACTCAAGAGCAGCTCTCAGACGTCCACCCAGGCCACCGTGCAGACCCAAACTTCGAGTACGGGCAAGGAAGGGAAATCCGTTAGCTTCCTCTTGAAGACGGACAAAGGAGAGAAGGATAAGGACAGAGACAAGGAGAGGGACAGGGAGCGAGACCGAGATAGGGACAGAGGTCGAGACAAGGACAGAGATAGAGATAAGGACAGAGACCGTGACCGGGATAGCGGTCCTCACTCTTTGCAACTGGATCTCCTTCCTGCTACAAGCAGTCAAACAGCTCAAGGCAGCACCAGCTCAACTCCGACATCCCTGTCCTCATCCCACCGCCCTCACTCTCGTCCTCATCTGCGCTCTCATACCCCTCATGGCCTGCCGGCATACAAGCCGCCGTCCTCTGACAGCCCCCTGCTGTGGACGTACCCTTCCGGGGGCTTCCGCAGACCGCCGGCTTACGAGAGCTTGAGAGGAAACTCCCAGACGCCGTCCTTGCAGCAGCCCTCGAGCCTCACGGGCGTTGGTGAGGGCGGATGCAAGGGTGGCGAAGGCTCTTCATCGCTGCTGTCCAAAACTGGCTTCATGCCCTGGGACAGTAGTGTGAGCTTCGCAGGCGACGAAGGGTCTTCCTGGCCCATGCAGAGGAAATTGTCCTTCAGCCAAGGGAGCCGAGAGACCGAGAGTAAGTCAGAAGTTAATTTATACGCCTCGGTAACATTGACTTACAAATGCCAAATTAAGATTTTTTTTCCAAGTTTTGCGCTACAGTTAAGTGAAAAAAGAAAAAAAACATTGAGAAAGCTGCAGCGATGAAGGTACCATAATGCCCTCGCGAGGAGAGCCACCGTCAGTAATGCATTTTCAGCCTTTCGGTTTATTGAGTGGGACAAACAATCAAGCGCAAATACAAAATGAGAATGCTTGTGAGGAGCTTCTGTCGCCATAACTCACTCACCCTACTTCCAGCTCCACATGTGACTTACTAGGCCACGCCTCTTAAAGGCACCCATCCAACGCACAAATCCGGTACGCTCATTATGACACTTTATTAATACTACTCGATTACTTTACATTCTCAACACATCGTTATTTTTCTTGATTAAAAATGTAACAAAGTTATTTTTAAGGGGCTGGAACAGATAACTACATTTTGTTGGAAGTTGGAGGAGCAAGATAGAAGTCTTCATTGGCCAATATGAGGGCGCTTGGGGATCATTGATGTCGCAAACGGAGTGTGCCTGACATCACTCCCGTTTGAAATGGAGTTTGAAATAAAACAAGCGACTGTACTTTTCTAACAGTCGACGGTTTGCCTGTTGGCGAGGCGCACACAAACAGCAAGTTCAAGGTGAAATTCTCCAGTCCCATTTCGTTGTCTCTCTCACTTCACTTTACTTTTTAGCATCGAGTTTAGCTGCACATCTCCCCCGGGAAGCACTCAGCTCCAAATTGACGATGTGGCAGAGCTCTTGTAACAGGCTGCCAACTCAAAAGCGCCATCTTTGATAGGATGAGTAAAATATAAAACATACGGGTTAAATGGAGTGGTGTTTTCCTCACCCAAAAAATGAAAGTCAAGGTTTTACCGTCCACTCGGCGAAGTAGAATAACAATTTTCGTAACAGTCAAACACTCTTTAATCATTCACCCCGATCTCTCTCATGCCAGAAGAAGAAGGACGGACATGGAATGGCAGCGCCGATGCCTTATTAAGGATGGATAAGGAAGAGTTGGGAATGGGGTTCCGAGGAGGCCCCTCGAGCATCCCGGTGCACTATAGTGGCGCCGCAAGTAGGACCCTTGGTCACTGTGAGTCGCTGCTGGGTTCAGACAGCAACCCAGGATTCAGAGCCCTGCCCAGAGTCGGGATGCCTCTTCCCTGTCAGACGTTCCCCGCCTGTCGCAACGGAGGTGGGTAATGTTCCTAATCATAAGATCTGAAAACCGAATCCCAAATGACATAAGCCGTTTTCATGTCGACGCTGTGGTTTGTTTCCTCTGCTTTTATTTGCCCTCACATGAAACTTGACACCACCGTAATTTCATGGAGAATTTAACAAGCGGCAAATCTTTCATCTACCATAAAAGCCAAACGCCGAACAGCTCTGAAGCCGCCGGGTATCTTTGTCATTCACTGCATTTTTAAGCAAGGCTTTTCTCCTCAGACTGACATATGCATGCTTACCTTGAGAATCCGGGGAAAAGCTTTCATTGCCGCCAAACCAGGGAAACACACCTTCCATAAACACTCCCGCGCACGCACATCACTCTCATTTTAGTGCTTTTACATTGAAACGGAAGAAGAATCAAATAGAGTGGAACCTCTAATGGCAATCATTGCTTTCAATGTGAGTCATTTGATGTACATCATACATCACGCTTGTTGAGGCTCCTCACAAAAAAAAAAAAAAAAAAAAAAAAAGGCAAAAGACAAACCAAACACTTCTCCACATTTATTTGGAGGAAGATGCTGGACACCACATGGTGTCCAAAATACAGCCCGGGGATTATTTGCGGTCCGCCATCCATTTTTTGAGTGACCCGCAGCATCTAATACTGCATTGGCCCGAATATAAGACGGTGTTTTTTGAGGAGAAGTTATGATGTAATTTACATTTCAAAAACCAGCAGCCATTCATTTACGAATGTGATTGCACTTTAGTTTACATATTTCATATTTAAATGTTCAGATATTAAGATTTGAATGAGGCAAAATAACATGCTTTTTCTCTCAAATATTTGTTAGAATCATTTGTTTCAGATGTACTGTAATTATTTTCTGTATAAAAATTAATTTGGTGTTCAAAAAGTCTTTTTTCCAAACTTGAGTCTTGAAAAAGAGGGGGTCGTCTTATAGTCAGGGCCGTCTTATATTCGAGCCAATACAGTATTTACGAAGACAATTCAGTTTTGGAAACAAGAACGATTCTGCACCATGTCGATTTTCCGATTTGTGAACATGTCACATTAATGATGACAATGATATCTCAACGACGGTGTTTGTAGAATAACAGTCTGCCTTCTTCTCATAGATGTGTACTGCACAAGCTGTATACACAAGTCGAACACAATGTGCAGCCTACATGATTCCAGCCAAACATTTGCACCCTCATGTGTTAAATGAAGTGATATTCCACTGTTCTCATTAGCAGGCACGCCGCGTAACAATGGTGTCTTTGCAGAAGTGGGGCGGCTGGGCCGTTCCTCCTCTGCTGCTGGAGTGAGACAGGTGGGCGGAGGAGACGTCCAGAGGCAGAGCAGTCTACCAGCACGAGAAGCCCTCAATCAGGTGAATTGATGCTGGCCGGCCTTATAACTCTCGACTCGATTAACTTCATTCAGGGCTCATTTCGGAGCGAGCATTAATATTGTCCTCATTATTGCCTCCCCTCCTTTTAGAGACAGTGCTCCTGCAGGTCTATTTATAGCTCGTAGATATGCCCACTGAGCAGAATAATGTTCTGGCCTGGCACGGAACAATAAGAGCAGGTACATGACGCAGGTTCCCACGTAAGCGTCCCAGCGCGTGGAAAAATAGCGGTGGAAGGAACGCGCTGTTTTGGTGTGGTGAGCTGCAGTTTCTCGTGCGGCATGTTTAGCTGGATTCCGGCTGCATAGTAAGTGCTGACGCACTTTGAGAGTGCTGCAGAGACTGTCTGCATACGTCTGGTTGGCTCCCGCTGAAACGTGAACAGATGAAGTGGTGCTACATCCTGGTGGATGTGATGAGCAACTGCAGCTGTGATCGGCAGGTGCCCGCATACTGTCGGCGGTAGTCACTTTTTAGGACCTTTTCGAGGAATACTTCATTTTGACGTGATGTTTACTACACTGTAAGGGCAAAAGTCTTGGGACACCTGGATATTTTCCTGCATGAAGTGCAATAAGAGAAAAGATTTCAGTTCCCATCTGCAACAGCGTAAGCCTGAAGATCTTATCCAATATTTTAGCACACCATTCTGCTGGTGGAAAAAAGGACATTTTAAAATCTAAACATTTAATGTGCATCCAGTGCTGAAATTTTCAACTTTTGTGAACACAAAATCATTTGTGATTGTTTTCACACATTTTTATACATTCACTTGTTGATCCACGGGTCCCTAATTATGTGCTCTAAAATGAACATTTCACTCGAAATTATGTGTCGACGTATTAGAGATGATTTTTGTATGGAAGGGTATTTAAACAAAAATCCAGTTCCTTGGTTTGACTTTATAACACCAAGCCCAAAAAGAGACTTTCCCCAAACTGACACCACAGTCATAGAAGGTAAGAGGCAACAAATTTTCTTCCTCATTGAATAAATGACACGTAATGTGATTTATTTTTTTTCCACCCCTCCAAAATTTGAAACACTGCCTTTGTCATTTGTGGCCTATACGAGAAAATAAAAATGTTGCAAAAATAGCACAAAGCTGTATTTTCTTTAATTCAAAATACAAATATAACAAAGTTGAATAAGGCGTCACACTTTTACTTTTTATAAATGGAAAAAAAAAATTGCCTCTTCAGAATTGCAAATATATTTCATTGTCCCAACATGTCAAACTACTTTGTATTAAAAAAAAAAAAAAAATATATAT